ATTCAAGTATTGTGCGAAAACACATGATCGCACCGGCTCGCCTGGTGCGTTTCAGCCTGGGTTTGATATGGTTAGTCGTCAACATATTGAGTGTTAGTAGTGTTGAATTCTTGCGTGGTATTAGTATGGTTATTTGGCAAAACCTGAATGCGTGCCACTAGGTGACTGTTAAAATATTCTGTTATTTATACGAGCGCCAATGTAGTAAAATTATGCATTTGTGATGGGTTAGAAGATATGATCGTCGAAACTGGGCTAAGGTGCTGCATGGTAAATGGCAGGTTTGAAATCGGGAATTACAGCATGATGATAGACGCTCGGGCTTTTTCACTACCATTCTCGTATTGAAATGAGCAAGTATAAAAGAAAAATGTTCTTAGGGCTCGAGCTTTTAAGAAGAAATTCTATGGTTACGCAAATATTTATCCAAAATAGCCGAATTTTTTTGCTCACTGACCTATCATCTGGCAAAATTGCACGTCCGTTATGCAGAATTCGAATACAAGGCGAAGGCAAGCCATAAACGATGCACTGTAGGCCCATTTTGCAACCATCGTCAAAAAGGCGAAATGTCCAGACAAAGTGCGGGGGACGAAGAGTAGAATAACTGAAATATTTCTGACGTCTAGTGAAGTCCTCAGTGAGAGCTTCGAACTGCCGTGCTTCGCCGGTGATCATTCGACGTGGCTCACGTTGATGAACATCGTACGCCGCCATGTATCGGTAGCGCGTTATTAGGATAATGTATGCTTCCGTCGCTCCACGCATTTCGTTGGCTGTGCACTGCACGGTGATTGCTTTAGAGGACCCGGCCTTATCAACAAAGCCAGGAATGTGCTCGCGTATTTCTAGCTGTCCTTTTTCCGGGCGCTCCGCAGCGCTTCCAATTTGTCGAAGCGTAAATCGCGTTTCTCGCTCCTCGTGGCTTCTGGACCTCTCGGCTGCTTCGACGAGCTTTATGTAACGCTCAATTATATCTTTATCTTCTAAAAATTCGTGCATTTCATCGGGCGGAAATATTCTTTCAAATGCAACTACTTCGTGGGTCGTTTCGCGGCTCCAGTGTGGAGGCCGTTTCATGATTCCGCCACCAAACGTCCATAATTCTCGTGCGCTTCGCTGAACCACACGTAAATAGTAACGAATACGGACAATATCTTCTTCGATTATAATTTTCAGTAACGTTTCATCTTTCTTTACAGTCTCTGGCACTGCAGACGAACTTACACGTGCCGTAAGTTTATAAGTTAGTACCGTTATTGTAAGCGCTTCTGCTTCAATAATATAGTTCAAGGTGCCAGCTTGAATATTTTGTTCAGTGGCTGTCTCTTCTTCTTTCTCTATGTCTTCCCGAATTGTTTCCATACGTAATGGACTCCGCCACTGTTGTTCAGCCGTTAGCACTTTGCTTTCTCTCGTTTTTACGTCAACAGTTACGTACAAATTCGATGTGGGATACGATAGCACCATTGCGTCAGCCGCTGCAATTTTGCTGGCTTTTTTGAACTCCTTATCTAATGAAATTTCAGGGCGATTTATGCGAACGAAACACTGTGTTTTTGCGCTTCCAATGCCGTTTGTTGCTTCGCAGATATACAGTCCCTCTTTGATGCCCTCGGTTATTTTCAGTACCAGAGTGCCGTCTTCATGAACAGTAAAAATGCTCCTGAAAATTGCTTTAGAATTTTGAGCATAGCCCACTCTCTGTATTCTTGATATTAGTGCTCAGTTCGATTCATGTAGAAATATCACATGGGATCGGCTTTGCATTTGATTAATAAAAGTTACGTTGTAGTAGGATCAGGTCTCCTTTACTGTTGCACACTTACGCTTAACTTCTATATTATTTTTTCACAATGCATAAGCATGCAAGCCATTTTTTAACTATCCGGGGGGCGTACTTGCTCACAATGAGGCCTTCTTCTAACATGTTCGTTATGAAATTTTTCACCGCTTTATCACTAAACTAAATTTCGTACCTTATTTTAACGAAGTTTACTGCGATATTTTGTGACCATGCAGTGAATATATGTTTACGAAAATGAACTAAGCGCTCAGCTGAGTAATTTCTGCTTCCTTTCAGCCCAATTTTGCACCCGTATATTTAATTACCGCATCCGTTTTTTGCATTTTTTGATGGACAATTTCGGCATCTCCTATTTAAGGAGGACGAAGGACAAAGGGAAAAAGCGGCAAAAGGGGAGGGAAGCGAGCGAACAGCGCCTTCCAGCCTGCTGAGTGTATCGCTTTTTTTCGACAATTTTGTAGGAACAACTCTTCAATGTTGTCGCGATCTTTAGCAACGGCTGGAATCCGGAGTCATTTTAAAAATCAATCAATTGCTCATAATTACAGGAGAAAATCAATATTTAGGGTAAGAGCCGGATTATTTTCATTATTTCCTAATTTGGGCTTCAGAATTAAAATAAACCGTACTACCAAATCACTGCTTGACAGTGTGCCATTAAGAAAATTCACTATTTATCAAACTAATCTAAATGTGGAGAATAGAAATCCACAAATAACTGAAAGCACACCTCATCTTGTGCACAAAATTCTTCGGTACAGACCAATTGAGAAAAGATTAACCAGAACTAGGCACCCGTCTGATGGATGAAAAAAGATTGCGCCATTTCTTCTAGGCTTTAAAGTGTGTGTGCCAATTCTGCTGGCACACTTCTCCAGAATGAAGTTATTTTAAAGTTAATGAATCTGTGCGAGTGCTTTGGTGCTAATTTTTTGTTAGACAGAAATGAATTTTCATAATTTGACGCCCCAAAATATGGATTAAAATGACTCCTTAGGTTGGTGTTATGGAACGAGTCAGACACTGTGCGCATTTTTGAACTATCCGTGGCATGAGTAAAGATGGTGCTGCTGCTACAGGTCGACACATGCAAAAATTTACATTCTTGCGTGCCAAATATGATAAAATAAAAGTGACTGTAAAAATGTGTTTAGTATAGTTTGAAAAATTCCGTTAAACAGTAAATATCGGTTACCTGCCCAACAAAATCAATTTTGGTGAATTTTCGTGCGAGGACAGTTTTAACATTTTCTAAGATGTGCATGTTAGCTTTAACGATCGTTATGAATTTGTTTTTGCATGATGTGCAAAAAAGTGTATAGCAGTATCCAGGTTAGAATGTATGTGTATTGTGTGTGTTCTTGTGTGTACATGTGTGTGTATGTATGTGTAAATGTGTTTACGTAATTGTGCATGTGTGTGTGTGTGTGTGTGTATGTGTGTGTATTTGGGCATGTATGAGTGTTTGTACATGTAAGTATGTGTTTGTGCGCGCATGTGTGTGTGAGCGTGCAAATATCTGCATGCATGTGTGCGTGTTTGTTACAGGCTCACGAATGAAATTGTCCGCACGTTGGGGAAAAAAAATCGGCCGTTTAAAAAGCTTGATTTTCCAACATTAGTCAGCTGCTAAATCTTTGTGCATTTCTGTTTAAAAAAATTTTCTGTTTGTTGAATTGCCTTCAAAATTATGTGTTTATCAAAAACTTCTCACAATTGGGCTACAGAAAAACTGTGCAGTCCAAGAAGCCCTAAATGTATCTCCTCTCCTATCTCGCTTCCAACAGATTTATCAGTGCTGTCTGCCTCTGGCCTATCTACTTCTGCTTAAGTAGCACACTAGGTTTTGTTTGCTGAGTCGCCGATTATTAGCTGGTGCTAAAAAGTTAAAATATCAACTAAAAATTTCGCCTTAAATTCAGTCACAAAAATATTCTGAAACTAGTGGTCTTCATCATAACAAAACAACTGATCACTAAATCAGTCGATAACAAGTGGGCGAAATATTAAAGTACCTGTCGTCAGGCAGAATCTCAAGCCCATTATGCGTCCAGCGTATTAACGGCGTCGGGTTACCAGTAACAATGCATTTCAGCTCCAGTTCTTCGCCCTCCTGTATCGTCACATCAGTGAGCGATAGTGTGAACTGAGGCGGCTTGAACTGAGCGGAAACTGACTCCTCGGATGAGACCGAACTGGGTGATCCCTCAACCACGGCATGCTCCTCCAAAACACTTCCCACCGACGTTATTTGTTCCTCCTTTCGGCAGCTTATGTCCAGTGTTGCGATCCTGATTTCCTTCTCTGAATCAATACATTTTTAAAAGCTGATTTTTCTTGTTTTTCATAACAATGTTTTCAGCATTTTCGTGCTTTTTTATTTGCGTGCTCACAATTGTTTTGCTTGACCTCTTCAAGGCTATTTCTTTTTATGCTTGACATAAGCTCCAACTCACGTTGCTTCCTGACCTTTGAACATTTTTTTCTAACTTTCCTAGCAGTGGACAACGTAACAGTACTCCGTCATGCTAACGCCAGGGAGAGTTTCACATCCCGAAAATTGGTTGAGGAACAAGCTAAAGAAAAGGCGGAAAGTCAGCAAACCAGGGGTAGAGGAAATGCCAATGAAACGAATGGACGAGTCCTGGAAGTGACGCTGTGCCAAAAAAAATTTATAATACATTGAATTATATGAAAAACGATTTTAACCTTCAACAACAACTCTGCATGCGGTTCTGGCGCTTCCAAACAAGTTCGACGCAGTACAACTGAACACTGCGTTATCATTCTCCGAGACTCTGTTGATCCGCAGTATGGATATCCCATCTTCGTATATAACTGAGTAGTCCCTAGAAAATACATTCTTCATAATTTAGTAAGCTTTTATACATCAGATTAGCTCAGAGAGCTAATTCGGTAGTGTTCAAAACGTAATCAAATGAATTTGAAGTTCCCTTGGATTACTGGCCAAACAGCGCTTTTTTCTCAAAAAATTTATGCTTTTAATTCGTTCCTGATTCATGAGTTAAGAAATCTGCTCGACTTCCAGCTGAAGATTACGGATTTGGACAGAGAGCATCCCGACAGTTGATTTCCTGTACGGTCGAACTTTGTTAGCCAGACTTTCAGTTTCCTCAAATTTCTAATTCCATGCTTGAAATATGTGGTCATACAGGCAGATACACATCATAGGTCTCATTTAACGCGTTTTTTTATCTTGATAACGCATAAAAGCAAGTAAAAGTACAAGTAGCAGCATTAAAATCTTCTGCACGAAGATGGCATTTTTATGATATTTTGTGGGATACACAGAGAAGGAATGGAAATAAGAAACCACTTTTCCGGCACTTCCAGAAAGCATTAGTGAGTGGTAATATTTTACCAGAGAAGCAACCAGCAATACTTTCTAGAGCTCACACACAGTAAAAGACCCGAAGAAAGTCATTGATTTTCAACTACTAACAAAAAAAATTTCGCACACTTCCTTTGAAAAGATGTCATGGAACACCTGCCACCATTTTGGCAGTTGTTTTTATTGTATCGTTAATAAAATCGTATCAATGTTAAAAATAATCGAATGTAATGTAAACGGTTGTACTTGAAGTACTAGGGCCAGTTGCAATTCATGTTTTGTTATTCGACTATGCAACTGGTAACTTTTCAGCTGCTTTGACCAATGCTCCCTCGCCAAGCGATCAGTCTTCTGGTGATTCATAGTAATAATGAATATTTTTGTCTTACATGGTATCCTCGATTACTACATCGTTACGTTTCCAGTGCACCGACGGTAGCGGACTTCCGGACACAACACATTTCAGCTGCACGCTGTCTTCCTTCTGAAAAGCAGTGTTCATCAGCCAAACAGTTATTTATAAATTCTGTGAAGATCGGTTCTAGTATGAACTATTGGTACTGATAGGTTTTCTAAACGTAGATTAGAAAGTTGTAAATCTCAAGTTCCCCTTAAAGCTAGCAGCTGCACTCCAAAGAGAATACGGATTCAGCGAAGCACTGATAGCGCTGGGTTATTTTTTATGGTATTCTGAGGCACTGTTCCACTAACAAGGACTGTCCACAACATCCTCATTTTTTGGGTAAGTAATGCACCAACTTCTGTTATTTCAAGTATTCATCTCATTGACTGAGTTTCGAAATTAATTTTGCCATTTCGGACAGCGAAGATTACGTAGTAACAAGCATCCTGGCAAGTACGTCCATACAAACGCTTCGAATGACTTCATAGATATTTTAAAACAGACCATGACGCGTATTTCACTGCTCAGCGGCAGCTGGATGACAGGACTTTGTCCGGTGACTGATGCGCTGCTTATGTGACTTAGTTCTGTTTCGTCCATTTGAACTGCTTGCACTGTAGTGCGAAATGAATCAAAAACCGTCCGTTGAACAAGCGCCTCTGTTTCCGACTGTTGCTCGAATGCAAGGTTTGAGCTGACTTCTGTGGTTTCCACTGCTGCAATATACAAAAGGATCCTCCTTTAAAAAATTTACTTGTGCTATGTAGCAAAAAAAAGAGATGGGAAGCCAAATTTTGCTTATTCAATGAAATAAAAATTTTTTTATTAGTTTTAATTGCAATTTTCTGGTCACACAGCTTTTGAGAATCAAGAGTGAAAGTGTTACTCTGAACAGTGATGGTGGAATACTGTCGAGTTGTTCCAACGATATTTGTTGCTTCACAAACCAGCTGCCCGTTCCAGCTCCTATCCAGCTGATGTATTTTGAGTATGAAAATACCGTCTTCGGCAATTATTTCTACGTTCCTGCAACTCAAGTTAATTGGAAAACGCATGAAGAGTTGCTGTACGCCTGCAGAATCTTATCAAGTACTGTGAGTTGTATGCCTGTGTAATGCGCGACAACGTACCATTGAAAACTGAACTGTGATGTCCTCTTAGTTTCTCTGATCAATTCTGAATCAACAACTTTTTTTTTATAATCGCTCGAAGAACTTTGTTACTACTCATGAGGCAGATTTCGTTCAAACTCATGCTTCTTCAAAAGAAGCCAGAAAATAACAACTGAATTCAGATTTTTCAAAACACAGAGATAGTTGTATGGATGGAGTGATCAGCACATTAAGAATAGTACAGCTTTATGAAGCGCGAAAGTAGCCGTGTAAAACAAGCAGTCTACAATTCACTTCTTAGCCTAAACTTAATCAACGTATCGAAGGCGACTTACAGCCTCTCAGTATTTTGCCATAAAAGTTTATTGAGAGCTCAATATGCTTCGAATAAAGCTATTCCTGCTCTTTCTTCGTTCTTCCCCGTCCGCAATACATATAAATGCAGACGGATGCAAATCTGGATTACGTCTTATCTCCCAAGTTTGTCACGTTCAGTGTTGAGAGAGCATGCAGAAGACTGTACTGAGAAAGAACTGACACGCAGAACCATACAAATTTATCTGATAAAATTTGTGCATGCCATAGTCATCATAGTGAACAGACTACCAAAAAAATGGGAAGGGAAGCATGAACTGAGAAAATGAAACTGAATCTCAGGGCATCGAAAACGAAGGTGATGCAGAGCATCGACACTCTAGCGGCCAACTTAAAAGTGGAAGTTCTGATTCGGAAAAAGTGACACTCGCATGCTTCTAACCAATAGGTGTCACTTCTCAGTTTAAAACAAGTATTTGAAAACCTGTTAAATGACACAAATACTACAGAACAGTCGACGTTTTTCGAGCAATACTCAAAGATACTGCAGCTACTCCTCCAGTACAGCAATGTGAAATACTTCTACGTACAACAGATGTAATCCTTAACAAAAGCACCGAAAGGATGCTGACTGCAGTGAAGACAGTGATGAATTGATTGATTTTCTGAGTATTTTCTATGGCCTAACACAGAAGAAAACATTTCATTGTAAGCAGAATGCGATGAGGACTGGAATATCTGTTAGCTCGGAGAGTCACACGTTTCCGTTGCAACAAGTTAGTTTGTATTTCAATGAATGGTGCCGCCAACGAGAGAGAAAACGACCGTTTCAATACATTTCAAACAGATGAACGAAAAATAACGTTACAGTTGAGGTGGACGGGAAAACCAAGGAAATCACTAGCGCACATGTTGCACAGTTAAGATGAGTTTTAGACTGATAACCCTAATGAACCTTAATTTATAGATTATGATAGCTCATGTTTATGTCGACTGATTAATAAATGTTTTTTTTTTTTAATGACATGAAAACATTTAAATGCGGCACGTACTCGTTGGTTGTGATAAGTCGATCGTTAAGGTACCATCGGACTTGCGGTGTGGGAGTACCATAAACTATACACTTAAACAAGTGTGATGACAACTCTTCGATATGATAACTTTGTTTCAAGTACTCTGCAAACTGCGGTGCCATCTGTGTCCCAGATATCGATGATATGCTGCTTTCGATAGCCGATCTTTCTAAAGACAGAACTTCATTTTGTTATATGGCAATAAAGCTTCTTGTTGATCTGTTGTTGTGTATCGTTGATTTTTAAGCAAACAGCAATGTAAACCAAATGGCCAGCGCAGGTATGCGTTTTTGCAGTAAGCTGTTTGAGGGTTAATGATTGGATTCGACACATACAAGGGTCCGATGTGTTAACCCTTAAATAAGTTCAGTGCATGCAAATGAAGAAATTCTGCACTTATGTGCTGTGCCTCATTCTGGATTTTTTATACTAGCCCGTATTTGGACTTTTTTTTGATGTTATAAGCTAGGAAATAGTAAATCCGAAAGCTAATTTTGTGTCACTCAACCGAATGATGTAAAACCCCAGAATTTCCAGTTAATTTTTAGCACTTTGTGACTTTCCTGGGAATTGGGTTCTAAAAAAATCCCATTTAAAATTTAGCTAATATTGAACGTGAGTTCATAAGCCAGAATAGATAGAACGACGTCAGCCAAACACAGAGTCCTGACGTCCCAGGCAAGAAAGAGCTTTTTCTTGAAATTCCAGCGTTGTAGGCCTCGTAATTCAGGTGTTAGGTTATCCAGGCACTTAACACACACTTTTACACAAGAAGACATAATTTCGGCATAATACATCATTTGCATAAAAAAGCAATCAGTCAGCTGCTTTGTTTCATAAAACATCGAGGCAAAATTTTCTCGCTTGCCTCCGAGAAAAATAATCTAAAACTGTCCAGAACTGCAAATGTGAGTTACTATTTAGATGGCCATTGTTAAATTACATTTATTGTTCGTTTTATTGAAGATAAGAAAATGAGCTGGTCTGTCTTTAGCCAAGTATATCCTACGTGATTTTTACCGTTAAATGTCAGATTCCACGAGATGGATTACTTTGCGGCAAGAGAATTGAATTTTTGAAAAATCTGGCCAGGAATAATTAAAGGAAATTATGATCTCGCATAAGCAAATGAACTGAAGCAGTACCATTCAACAAAATCTAGAAAAGGAATAATTTGTGGGCCGGATGCCACAAGACTGGCCTGAGCAGAAAAATCGTACAGTTCCCGAGTTTTGATATTACCGTGAACGCCAAAGCCGTCTAGAAAATCGATGTGAGAATCTCATGTTAGTGATGTTACTGCACTTTCAGACGTCGGGCACAGCTATGCCACGTCTCTCGATTCTGGACTGCATACCTCTAGTTGGAACCTGACGTCTGTTCGGTGGATGTACGCCAATTTTTCGAGGCTAGCCGAGTGATCGTTTACTTTTTCGCTGGTATCATTTACTGAATTTGAATATCAAAAAGCAAAAAACGTTTTTGTCTGTTGGCCAGGTCCGCATTTTGGTTGAGAAGTAAATGAAAGAATGTCACAGCAACGAGTTGTTATTCTGCTGCCTGCCGTTTGTTCGTCATGCAGTCTACCATGCGAAGAAACTAGTACTTAATCGTAAAAATTAAGAAAAATTATATACGAATGAAAATGAGGCAAAACACCGATCTTGAGCAAAACAATGAAAAAAAAAAAAAAAAA